ATTTTATAAAATATATTCTTAAAAAAAAGTTTTACCAAATTTTATACTTTCTCCATTCCAAAAAAATTGTCACAATTTGACTTTTTTAGTCAAATTGTGCAACACTTTGACTATAATTTATGGAAAAAGTATATTTAGTTATACTATAAAGTTATTAAACTTATGTTTTTAATTTGAATTGTAGTTTTGATATATTAAATTTTACAACATATAATTATTTAAAATTATATTTAATTTGAGCTCAAAGTGTGTCATGGTTTGACCAAAAAAGTCGCCCCCGACTTAATGTATTTCAAAAAAACACAGACAGATAAGATTATACCAAATCACATAACTGCATCTCAGTTTAACATGTTTATATGTTGTTTAGATGATATCTAATCAAATCATATCTCATCAAATAAGATTAAATCAAATCAAATTAAAAGAGTTCTAAATATAACTACAATTAGATCAAGCAGATTAGATCTATTCCAAATAGATCAGTCAAGTCATGTTTATATGTTGTTTAGATGATATCTAATGAAATCAGATCTCATCATATCAAATTAGACTAGATCAAATAATTGCATAGATCAGATTCTTTTAATACTCATATTTTTGGCCGTATAAGATCTTACTGGTACTGATAACAGAACAAGGTAATTGCACAAATCCAATTCTTCGAAATACTCATACTTTTGACCATATAAGATCTTATAAGTATTGATAATTGTACTTGTTACTCACATTGATAATTTACTTGTATACATTGTGTCCTATTTCTCTGATCTAATTTCTAAATGCATTGGATTGTACCTAGTTAGATCAAATCAGACAAAAACAGATCTAATCGGATCAAATCAAATTCAAACCCAATAAGATCAGATCAAATCTTCCAAGAAAATCTAAACTTTTATATATGTTGTGTCCTATTTTCTTGATGTAATCTTTAAAAGGATCAGACCAGACCTAATTAGATCGAATTAAACCAAAATAGATTTAATATGATCAAATGAAATTCGAATATAATAAGATCAGATCAAATCTTCAAAGAAGATCTATTTACTTGTATATATTGTGTTCTAATTGCCTGATATAATCTTCAAATGCATCAGATCAGACCTAATTAGATCAAATCATACCAAAATCGATCTAATCGAATCAAATCAAATTAAAATCCAATAAGATCAGATCAAATCTTTAAAAAGATCTATTTACTTGTATACGTTGTGTCCTATTTACCTGATCTAATCTTTAAATGCATCAAATCGGACCTAATTTGACCAAATCGGACAAAAAAAGATCTAATTAAATCAAATCAAAATCAAAACCAATAAGATCAGATCAAATCTTCAAAGAAAATCTAAACTTTTATATAGTTTGTGTCCTATTCGCCTAATCGAATCTTTAAAAGCATCAGATCGGACCTAATTAGATTAAATTAGACCAAAACAGATCTAATCGAATCATATGAATTTCATCTTTTTTAAAATAATTTTATTTAAAAACATAATTGGTAAATAAATAGAAAATAAAAGTTATACTTACAATATGGGTATCTTGTCGATCTAATTATATCCGATCTGGTGAATTTAAACATTTGATCAGCCAAATTGGAACTGTGCAAGTAATTAATTTAGTTATCAGTACCGGTATGATGTTATACGGTCAAAAATATGGGTATCTTATGGAAATTTATGGACCAAAAAACTTTTTTTGTTTCAAAAATCAGATTGCTGCTTCAAAAAATTTTCGAGTTCATCTCAAATTTTAGAATCCCTCCTGATTTTTGATTGCCCGCCTAGTGCCCCCAATTTCACATCTATCCCGTCCCCTTCAGAATATTTTTCTCCCATAGAGATAATTTCCGTCATCTTCTTCAAAATCACAGCCATAAGCCGGAGTTTCTCTCTAGGGCGTAAGATCGCTAGACAGTAACTCAGGTTACTGTTCAGTGCCTTCTTCCCTTCGATTCTTCCATTAATTGAGCTCTTCTTGGCGTGATTTTTGGAGCCCTTGGTTCGTATGATGTGTGTGCAACTACATATGAATCCAATTTGGGAATTATTTGAGCTGGTATGTGGCGATTTGGAGGTCAACGACAATAGTGATACTGTTCATCTAGGAATTGAAATTCGAAGATTTCTCTTGTCTCGAGCAGAATTGAAGGACATCCTCTTAGGATTCTGAGAGAAATTGTTTGCTAATCCAAGGTATGAACATGGATTTCAATTCCACTTGATTCATCCTGCGATTTGAAGAATTTGGGGAAACAATGTTCTGGTTGGTTTTTGGAGGAGTCCATAATGCTGTTATTGAAACTATAATTGAGCAAAGTTGCTTTGAATGTACGGTTGGTGGTTGCACAACTGATTCATGTGATGTTCATGAATGTGTTAACTGTATTTTTGGAGCTTGTTCTTGGGAATACATTATTTTTGAACCTTGTATTTTTGATACCTTTGGTGTATTTGTACTGGCCATGTATCTTTTGAACCATAAGTTGTAGCTGTGCTGGTCCTCACCTGCTGCACGAACATGGGTGCTGAAACCAGAGAATCTTGATGAATTTGAGGTTCTTTTGGTTTTTGATGGTTTCATTTTGGTCAGGTGTACCTTGGGAAGTATGGAGCTGGAAATGCTGCTACCATGGACTGTTGAAGCTGAGTTTGGAATCAGCTGCTCTTTCCCACTGGATGCTACTGTGGTGCTACTGTTTTTGGGCTGATAGAGTGGATTAAACTGTGGTTTTGGGCTGTGCATTGTTGCTGGAACTGCTGCCTGGGTATACCGGCTTGGTAAACGTTCCACTCCTCCCTGAACCTCTTGGACACTCACTTTTGTCATAATTTACTTCATTTGCATGAGGTAGGGGCTAAATTGAACTCTTGACATGTGTGGTCTGTTTGGATATTGACGGCTGGATGGGAACTAGTAACCATGTGCCTTATGTGCCTTGGACAGGGAGTATATGTACTTGGCTTGAGACGCCACCAACATATGCTCCCTCCATGCTCTCGTTTTGACCTACTATACTGTTGCCTGGTGATGCGGGGTACTGGAAGCTGACACTGGAGCCAGGACGTGGATTACCACTTTGTTATGTTTGACCATTTTGATACTTGTCTTGTACTTGTTTTGATATTTTATTTGTACGGGGGTTGCTTGGACCACTTATTGGCACTTCTTGCTGAGTACATTTTAGGGAGAGGAAATGGAGTGTGGTTTGGGCAGTGTTTGGGCTCTTCCTTTAGCTTTTGGTCAGGGGTGCCACTAGTTTGGGCAGTGTCTGGACAGATTGCCGGATCCTGTGTGGCTCTTTGGCATTGATTGGCTGGTACTTGAAGGTGGTCTACTAGATGGTACTTTGAGGTGCACTTGGGAGTCAAATACCTTAGATGAGAGGTCATGGACTGTGTTTTGGGGAAATGATTGGACTGGAAGCTGAAACTGAACTATGGGGCACTGGTTTGCTGCTGGTTTGCACCAATTTGCTGCTGGTGTTGCTGCTGTACTTGGCCGAAAGCACTGCTAGGAACACTGCCAGGAAGATGCTGGTTTTGGGTTTCCTACCTATCCACTTGCGGTGTCTGAACTCAAACCGAGGGCAGCAATGAATGAAGGCTTTCAGGACAATGTGACAACTTCTAGCACTCGGGCCTTGGCCCTTTGGCATGCCAGCGGATAACCTTAACATTTATATATAGTGCTGCTTGTTTTGTCCCTCTTTCTTTAGCCATGCACCGAACAGATTCAGAAAGCATCTTTAGAAAACAAGTCTAAGATGTCAACTCGAAGAACAAGACCCCCTCTAGTGCAAGGCCTTGTTTCAGACAGCAATGGATTTCGCCATCTTCTTTTTGTTTTTTTTGCTTTTATGAGTGAGGTTGATTGATTGTATGGGTTCCCAATACCCTTTAGGTGTAGCGGGACACTACACAGCCTGTACATGTACTTTTTATTTTCTTTCAATAAAAGTGTTTATTTTTTAAAATGATAATTGTTTTAAACAGCGGATATTTGATTGTTGTCTAAAGTTTCGCCCAAAGTTACGAAAGTAACGTTAGATAGCATACACATATTCATTGTAGTGATGGTTATCGTTTATTTGAACTTTAAAAAAGTTTGAGACTTAATAGCTAAACTACTGTTTAAAAAGAGTATTCTTAACTTATTATAAAAAAACTCTAGCAAAACAATCATATGACACAGACAATTAGTAATAGATTACTATTTCTCATAATTTTAAAAACAATTCTACGCTTACTATCCACACTACTCTTTAAAAGAGTTTTCTTAACTTATTCTAAACAACTGTGAAAAAAAACCCGTGTGACACAGACTACTAGTAATACATTACCGTTTCTCATAACTTTAAAAATAGTTCTAGGCTTTATAGCTTGACTATTGTTTAAAATTAGTATTCTTAATTTATTATACACAATTGTGGTAACAAAAACCGTATTTTGATATGACACAGACAACTACTAATAGATTACCGTTTCTATGAACTTTAAAAACAGATGTTGGCTAAGCATCTAGACTATTGTTAAAAAAGAGTATTGTATTCTTATTATAAACAACAATGCCAAAAATACTATATGACATATACAACTATCAATAGATTATTGTTTCTCATAACTTTAAAAACAGTTCTAGACGGAGTAACTAGACTACTGTTTGAAAAGAGTATTCTTAACTTATTATTGACAACTGTGATAACAAAAACTGTATTTTGATATGACACAGACAACTAATAATAGAATATTGTTTCTCAAAACTTTAAAAATAGTTTTAAACATAATAGCTAGACTACTACTTTTGTAGCCAACAACAACAAACAGTAGTCTCATTTTTTTCAACTACTGTTTTTCCATAAACAGTAGTTAATCAACAATCGTCTGACACTGTTTTTGGCGTAGTGTTGATAACATAATTTTGTCTGAAATATCCAATGAAGAAATTGATCCAACATAACGCTGCAATTTTAGACGGTATGGTACATGGCCCTTGTGGTG